TGTGAGTGAGAATGTGAGTGGGAGTGGGTGAAAGTGAGTGAGAGTGCGTGTGTGAGAGTGAATGAATGTGGGTGAGTGAGTGAGTGTGGGTGAGAGTGAGTGTGAGTGAGAATGTGAGAGAGAGTGAGTGAGTGAGTGAGTGTGAGTGTGGATGAGAGTGAGTGAGTGTGTGTGAGTGACTAAGTGAGTTTGTCTCAGCAGGAGTGAAATTCTGTCAGTACTGGCTGAGGAGGGAGTAGCAGACTGGCCTAGGGAGAGAAATGGTGTCCTAACAGGGAGCAGAGAGGAAGTGAAGGTATTGTTGTCAAATTTACTGACAAAGCAAACAGAGGTCAGAAAGTGAATTGTGAAGAGGACATAAGGAAACAAAGGGATATAGATAGGTTAATGGAGTGGGTGAAATGAGGGCAGTACAGTCTAATGTGGGAAAGTACAAAATTATCCATTTTAGCAGAAAGAATAAAAAAAAATCTCAATGGTGAGAGTTTGCAGAGCTCTGAGATGCAGTGGGATCTGGGGGTCCTAGTGCAGGAATTACAGAAGGTTAGAATTCAGGCACAGTGAGTAATGAGGAAAGCTCATCGGAGATTTTACTGTGAAGAAAGTTGAGTACAAGAAGAGGGAGCTTATGCTTCCGTGATACAGAGCATTGGTGATACTACATCTGGAATACTGTGTACAGGACTGGTCACTGTACTTACAAAAGGATGTTAATGCCTTAGAAGCAGTTCAGAGAAGGTTTACCAGACCAATACCTCGAATGAGCAGATTGCCCGGTGAGGAAAGGCTGGACAAGCTGAGCCTGTATTCTCTGGAGTTTAGAAAAGTCAGAGGTGACTGAATTGAAACATGAAAGATCCTGAAGGGGCTTGCCCAGGTGGATGTGGAAAAGGATATATCCTCTTGTGGGAGAATCAGGAACCGGGTGGCATAGATTAAAATCCAGGGGTTGCCCATTTAGGACAGTCATAGAGCCGTACAGCACAGAAACAGACCCTTCATAGAATTCATACAGAGTGGAAGCAGGCCATTCGGCCCATCACATCCACAGTGACCCTCCAGAGAGCATCCCACCAAGACCCTTTCCCTACCCTATCCCTGTGACCCTGCATTTTCCATGGCCAATCCACCTAATCTGCACATCTCTGGACTGTGGGAGGAAACGCACGCAGATACAGGGAGAATATGCAAACTCCATATCGTTGCCTGAGGCTGGAATCGAACCCAGGTCCCAGGAGGCAGCAGTGCTAACCACTGAGCCACCTCGCCCACCTCCGCTCTCACCATTCCAAAGAAACCACTCTGTCTGTTATGCCGTGCTTCAAATCATCCCAACACCGTCTTTTCCTGCTCAGGGTACATTTCCACACAAGCACAGAACATAAAATTGCCTTTTTTTACATCCTCCTCTGTTTTCAAAGGACCCAAACAACCCTTCCAGATGAAACAGTGACATACCTGTCCTTCCTTCAATTTAGTATGCCATTTTCAGTACTCAGAAAGCAAAGCAGATCTGTACACTGGAGACACAAACCCAGATTAGGTGCCCACTATGCAGAACATCATCTTGTAGTACACAAACGTGATCTGGAGTCTCCTGTAGTCCAACTTGTCCATGCCCACCAGATTTCCTAAATAAATCTAGTCCCATTTGCCAGCATTTGGCCCATATCCCTCTAAACCCTTCCTATTCATATAGCCATCCAGATGCCTTTTAAATGTTGTAATTGTACCAGCCTCCACCACTTCCTCTGGCAGCTCGTTCCATACACACACCACTCTCTGTGTGAAAAAGTTGCCCCTTAGGTCCTTTTTAAATATTTCCCCTCTCACCTTAAACCTATGCCCCTTTAGTTTTGGACTCCCCCACCCTGGGGAAAAGACGTTCACTGTTTACCCTACCCATGCTGCTCATGATTTTATAAACTTCTTTAATAAACTCCTCAGCCTCTGACACTCCAGGGAAAATAGTCCCACCCTATTCCGCCTCTCCCTGTAGCTCAAACTCTCCAACTCCAGCAACATCCTTGTAAGTCTTTTCTGAATCTTTCAAGTTTCACAACATCCTTCCTATAGCAGGGAGACCAGAATTACACGCAGTATTCCAAAAGTGGCCTCACCAATGTCCTGGAGATAGTAGGAACTGCAGATGCTGGAGAATCTGAGATAACAAGGTGTAGAGCTGGATGAACACAGCAGGCCAAGCAGCATCATAGGAGCAGGAAGGCTGACGTTTCGGGCTTAGACCTTT